AGAATTCAAGTAATATTAATGATAATATTCTATTTTTATCTGGAAAAGCTTGAAAAGTAAGCAATCATGATATCTTTTATAGCATTAGCTAAAGATAATAATTTGAAATACTCCATCAGAATTTTATTACCCTAGCTCATTGCTAACTATAAATGTACTCATCAACCAATTGACTTACAACTAATACCTAAATTTTGCCAGATAAAAATTTCAGCACACATTACCTAGAATCTCCAAAAACAAAAGTTCACTAGCATTTATTTATTTTTAACCTGACCCTCATTCTATTAATTTTAACACTTCATCAATTGCTGACCTTGATTATGTGATCATGATTTAAATTATAAAAACATATTTGTAATATTTCCCTCATATGTTACAAGGCAGATGTTCCTCAAACATCACTAACACTTTACAGAGTGCAGTTTATGCTCATTGATAGATTGAAAAGCAAATATATTTAATAATTTTTTCTGTTTCTTTAGATTTGCCTATAATGCACCCAAATTCTTAAATATATCTGGTAGCTTTAAGAAATTTTAATTTACTTTTGTAGTAGAAACACTGGGACTATCACATAGTTGTTCTGTTGATGCACTTGTCCATAGTCAGTTGTACAATCTTTACCTACTAAAATAATACATGAATGCTTACTAGAGATATACCTACACTACCATGTTGCTTATTTTGTAGTACTTCCTTTGGGCCACTTAGCTTGTGCTGAAGTTATCAAATTTCATTATTAGAATTTCATAGATACTTTGTCAGGTATTGTTTTAAATATTTTATAAATTTTAATTTACTTAAACATCCAACACCTCTTTGGATATGTACTCTTACTATTAACTTGATTTTATAAAAAGTGCAAAAGATGAAATCATTAGCTATGCACATATCCAGACTTTAGTATTTTTAGTCTCCCTTATGGCATCCACTGTCCTGTAATTTGTGTACTATTATATTCAATTGCCACAAAATGAATCCATCATCTTTTCTTAAGTGTTTAAAACTGTGTCTGAGTAGGATGTGCTTCTAAATCTTCAAAAAGTTGGCACTTTTCTCCCCTAAAATTCTCAGTACAAATTTATCATTAGAAGGTCTTTTTGTGTGTTAAAACTGAGTGAAAAGTGAAGTTCTGCAGTTAAATTCTGTCTTCTGGAAGGTAACCCTGTCGGCAAAGTAAGGAAAGAATTTATTACATGATTTTACTAGATGTTCAACTGGAAGGAAGCAATCCCTTGCTAGGACATCATTCACATATACTCTATGATGATTTCAATATATTATATTGGCCTAGAGCCAAACCATGATCATTGTGTAAAATTTAATCTTTAGAAATAAAAGTCATATATTTGAAGGGAGAAGCTTCAAATGATTGCTGGAGTCATGGCAATTTAGAGGCTCATTGTGATCTTTCCCGGAAAAGGTATATAATTATTATGTTAATGAAAGATTCAGATCAATAAACATAGCTTCCTGAGATAATATCCTTGTCAATATTTAGTGAGATAAATCCATATATTTATATCTGTATTTATATGTATATCTCTATTTATCTGTCTATCTCTCCATCTACCTACCTATCTAGAGAGAGAGAGAGAGAGAGAAAGAGAGAGAGAGAGAGAGAGAGAGGAGAAAGAGTCCTATATAAAATATATTATCTGAATTCAGTATAAAAGTATTCAAATTATTCTTTAATTTTATCTAAGTTTGCTTACAAATTCTGGCTTATCTAGCCTACATTAAAGATTTACAAGGATATTTCAAATCTAACTATGTGGATCCCTGAATGTACATCCAACTTGTCTTCACATGAGGAATTTTCATTTTGACAATTTATGTAAACTTAACAAGTACAACTGACAGATACAACTGTTTTCTCCATGTTCTACTTAAATTATAGACTACTGTAAATTTTCACATCATGCTTTGAAGGACAAATTGACAAGCTGGAATATAACACCATGAAAACAATTAGTATAGTCATGATTACTGGAATCTTAATACCTGAGGAACAAATGGAAATTTCACAGTAGACAAAATGATACTTGGAAGAACAAAATAGACTTCGGAAACTGGAGAATTTCTGTAAGATCAGATAGAGAATTTGCTAAAATGCACATTTAGAACTGCAGATTTGGAGTTTATGTGAAAGGATGTGTAGGAATGCCTGGCAGCCATTCTGAGTAACCTGCCAAAGATTTGAAAATAAGGAAAATCGGAACAATTTTGCTAAATTAAATATAAAGACAACACATATGGCATCATTATAGATATTTAAATTTTTCTTAATGAAGTAAAATATTTCTCAAGACAGAAGTAATGTTGCCCATAATCTGGTTACCTAAATTAAAGAAACTGTCAGAGAGCAAAAGATGATTAGCAATAAATGTCCAAAGAGATATGAGTCAGGAAATCTCTCTTGGACTGTTATCATTTCACAGAACATAATTATACCCTAAACACATAAAAAAAAACTTTTTTCATAAATTTTAACCGGTAACACTAGGTGTGGTTCTTTTTTCAAGAAATGTTGAATTTCTGAGCCTCAGAGAATGCTAATTAGCTTCTGAATTTGTCTGAAGAGTCATTTTGATTATGATTATCTTCACATTTAGTGCCAATTTTGTCACTGCAGTGAACCTGATAGATAGTGCAACAATTATATCCTTATAATTGAGAAATGTGATTCTATGACTTATACCTAGATCTCCTGCCAAAGCCTCATTGTAGTGTTTTGGGGAGGTGGCTGTATTATGGGTGTGCCATAAAATAGGTTTTACGACAAGATTAATTCGCTAATTGGTTTAGCACAGCTATAGCACAGAAAACGGAAAGGTCTTCTCTGGGTGTGGCTCACAATAACCAATAGGCTTGGAGCCTGAAGGGAAAGGAAGATTGCTGTTTGCTGCTTGATTTCTGCCATGTCTTTCTGCCTTTGAGCCAGCTGACTGTGGACTTAAACTCTTATAAAGTTTGAACTAAAATAAATCTTTCCTGTTTTTACTTCTTTCCTGTTTTTACATGTGAATGTCTACTATTGTGTTCCTGGAATGACAAGTAATGAAGACACATGAGGAGAAAGACAAGCTCAATATTGTCTCCATAAATATATAAATATTTCACTGTTATCTGAATGAACATTTCTGGATCTCAACTTCTTGCACCTGAGAAACATGCAAATGGTACTAGGATTGTATCTACCAGGAAATCTATAACAGAAAATACTATGCTTTAATACATTTAACATGAAAATGATTTGTTAGAACCTATGTTTTATGTACTTTCATTCCTACATAAACTGCACTATTTTTATGAAAGTATTTTAAAAGACCAAATTGATTAAATTACATTTAAAGTGGTTTTGTGTCTCAAAGAATTAAAGGAATTATTTGGCATCCTAAAAGAATTCATTATTAGGAGAGTCAGTGGGATGGCAATGAATAAAAACTAACTGGAGCTGATTATTTTGTGATTTCAAAAAGGAAGAAGAAAAGGGAAAATAAATAAGAGGAAATGATATGTTTTACTGCTTAGTTTCTCATCAACATTAGTGAATGAAAATATCAAATGCAATTTTTCCTTTTGCAAAGAAGCACTGATATTTTGTTTTCAGTATTGAATTTGATTGCAAAAAATATGACAAAAATTATGCATGAGTGACACTGGAAAGAGGGAAGCTCAGGTCTTCAGAAATCAAATCTCAAAGAATGTAACTTCTGTATTTTCTGTCAATTGAATATTTGACTATTTTTAAAAAATAGTTTTCAAAATAGTTTATAGGCAATTTAGAGCCTGCTAAGTGAAACCCATAAATTAAGGATAAAATGAAGAATGAAGTCAAAAACAGTCAAGCATTTTGATTTCTAACAGTTTTATTGAAGTATACTTAATGCATAAAATGTATCTGATTGGCATGTGAATTTTGATGAATTTGTACCTATCCATACAAACATAATGCTATCACTACAACCAGAGTATTAAACTTATACTTCCAAACTTTCCTCGAGTTCTTTTGTACCTGTGTGCATACCCACATATTTGCAGGTGAGACACAAATAGAAATCTATCCTCTTAAAATTCTAAAGTGCATAATACAATATTGCTAAGTATAGATGTTACACTGTGCACTACGGAGTATATAATATATTGCAAAATATAGATATCATATTGTGTACTAGAGTATGTACATCTTGCATCACTGAAAGTTTATCTCAGTTGAACAATAATTTTACTTTGTTCCTTCTCCTAGTCCCTGACAATACACTACCATATTCTGACTCAAAGATATTGACTTCTTAAATACTCAAGAGACAAGAAATCATCCAAGGTTTGCCCCATTGGGAGTAGGTTATGTCCTTTAACAAAGGGCAATTCCATCTTATTTGCACTGTCGAAACTATAGTGTTTACTTTCAAAAACTGAACTCTATGTTGAATGAAAAGGTAGTAATTGTGTTCTTTTTATGTGAATGCTGTTTTACAAAAGACAGTATTTTAGATACTTTTCTTTTCCTATTATATATTTTATTATCCTTATTAATATCAGTTGACTATATAAAAAGATGAATACTGGGTAAGGATACTGAATTAGTAACATTTCAGCTGTGCATTACTACACACCACTGGATTTCAGTTCTTATGCTCAGGAAATACAGCTATTGGTTCATGAATGGGAAAGCAAGGTTAGAGTTATGAATTGCCTGATTCAGATGTATGTCTCAGGTTAATAAAACAGTTCTTAAAGTATAAGCTAGTACCAATGAATTAACTCTTCTACTGAAACACTAACAGACTCATTTTCTTTACATTATTGCTATGATGTAGAACTAGAAAAATCATTACTTTGTGAGTTTTTGAAATCGTATTTTAGTTTTTTTTTATTTTTATTTAATTTTTTTTATTCTTTTTTTTTGTCTTTTTCCTTTTTATTGGTACCAGGGATCGAACTCACAACTGCCTGCTTGCAAGGCAGACACTTATGCTGCTGAGCTAAATCCCCAGCCCCCGTATTTTAGTTTTGATGATATACAAACTAGAAAACCAAAATTGTCCTTATAGCTTGAAAAACACTTGAGATATTATCACTTATAGAAATATAATCATATGACTTTATCTGGATATAAACTTTTTTTCAAATACTTTTTTATTTTGACATCTCATAGTTCTGAGAAAAGATGAATATTAAGGCAAGATAAACATTAAAATGTATAAATATAAAAAATAATAGAAGCTCACAGTTTTTGGATTTTCCCAGATTAAAAGTAGATTAATATAGTAAATATGATATATAAGAATAAAAATTGTTATTAACTATATTCATAAATATTAAGTTAATATGAATGATTAGTTATTTTTAAATACATTTTAAGTGAAATACATGATTCCATTCTTGTGAAATATATATATATATATATACTTGTTGGAACTAGAGCAAAAAATTAGTCAAAAGAAATTACTTCCCTCAAAGCTTATACACACACACACACACACACACACACACACACATATGCATTCTTTTATATTTTGAAAGATTTTTGGTTAAAATTATTCAAAACACTTGCTGACTTGAGCTCATTATTTAGTTTTCAAAATAATCATATTGAAGTTAGCTATAAAATAGTTTCTATTTTTAATATATTTTCTTTGGCCTATATTTTAGTTTGACCATAACCCTCCCTGTACTAATTTAAACCAATATTATATGACAAAGTAACAAAAATTATGAAAACCACATAGTCAAATCTTTCTATCTAGGAAAGCCAAGCATTCATGTTTGCTGGGGAAAAGGTCATTGACCAACTGATATTTGCATGGGTAAAATTTTAGTAGTAAACTCTCTGGAGTTACATTGAGTGTTAAAACCTATCTTTCACAATTGTAATTTATTTTGGTCTGTTTAGTACAAGTGTCTATATTAAATTGAACCTAATATGGAATTCAAAATATAAGCTGACTAGTTATGGTAACAATATTCTTCATGTTACAAACGTTTTGTGTATATATGTGCATGCATGCATATGTGTGCTGTTTTATCATGGGGTCATACAAAAGGAAATCTATCAGTACCTTTAATATAAAAATATTTATCCTATGTCATGTTCTCCCTATTAGAAGAAATTCTGGGTTATCTAACCCTAGGTTATGAGTCACAATTTTATTTATATATGAGCAAAGATGATGAACAAAATCCTGGAGTACATACCTTATTGATTCCAAGCTTCATTTGTTTGCTATCATTTTGTAAGAATTTCTTAGAACTCAAATATTTCTTAAATACAATGAAATTTCAATGAATGGATTAAAAATTAATGGGTTAATAATTAATGATATAGTCTTGTCTGAAAGTTACCTACTAATTTAGAAGGGAGAACTGGTAGCAGTAAGATTCTGATGACTTATTGAAATGAGATTGTATTTACTAGTTTTAAAAGGAAATACAGAGGCTTAAAAGCCTTAGAAGAATAGAATTTTCCTATAGATGAAAGTTTCCTATGCATAGTCTCATTAATTGGCACAATTAATTCCACTGAGAAAATAAAATAGCATACACCTGCCAAATAATTAAGGAAAAACTATGATATTTTTGTGTTCTCCCTTGGGTAGAATATTTTACACGAAATATTTCAGTAAATCTATAATAAATTCTTTCTCAGATTTCCCAGGCTTTGTGACTAAAACTAGCTTCAAATAGCATTTTCTCTTGTGGCTTTATATTTTTTAAAAAATGTAAACTCACTGACCAATTTTGTCAGACCTTAAGCCTAACTGACACACAAAAAAAATGTCTTAGATCATGTTCATATTATTCACATTATGTAAGACAGGTCTATGGCAAAACAGCTCTATTATAATGAAATAATTGAAGATTGAACCCAAATGATGTCAGATTTACACGTTTTTCAAAGAATGAAGCAGTGTTCAGGGTCTAATCTAAATAGCAAAGGAAAATTAATAGATACCTAATTCATTAAGTTATAAAATAAGATACATTCCAGTACAGTTAAACATTGTTTCTTGGCTGCGTTACAAACAAAAGAGAAAATTCTGGCGATAATTGAGTGGGTTTAGTTAGCTCTTTAGAAAGAACTAAATTATGGATAAAAATGTATGGCTGGATGAGCAGAAGTTACCACTTTTTTACTATCAAATATTTCCAAATAATTTTTAAATTAATTATAGCACAGGTTATCCTACTAATAAAGCAGTCATAGAGAATAGCCCTGAGTATATATGTGATACTAGAGGGAGAGGAAACAAAGCAAATGCCTAAATACATCTCAGTCACATGACCACTCATTTTTTACAATGAAAGAGCCAAGATCGTTCTTGCCTAGCTTGGTAAAAGAAATTTCAAAGAGTTAAAATTCATTTTATTTTAGTGGTGTTGGAGATTGAAAACAGGGCCTTAAGTATGATAAGCATGTCACTAGATCACTGAGCAAGTTTCTAAAATTTAAAATTTAACAGCAAATACTTAAAGCATGATTGATATCACACACGAATATTTCAAGGTACATATATATTAATATGTTTAGAGTTATTAATTGTGTATTGTTACTTATTTTTCTCTGCCTTTATACTTTTGGATTCACATAGACATACAGTTATTTTTCATATCAAGATGCATGAATTTTTTTCAGAATTATTGGAAGCACCTAGAATTAGTTTTTAAATCAGTGCAGTCACTATGAAACACATAACTTTATCTTTCAGAGGAAGAAATTTTCTATTCCTTTATTCTGAGTTTGACATACTTATTTTTGTGGAACTGGAGAGTGGGTCGAGAGTCTTTGTGCTGATCCCTTTTTAAGTTTTTACTCAGAGACGAGTTATAATTCTTACTTTCTTGTTGATTCATGTGATTTACTTTAGTATTTTGAATATTTGTGTAACGTGGAATAGTACTTGTAAATATTTTCTTTAATTTTATAGAAAAATAATATAAAAAGTAAAGAATTTTTAGTTTGATAAGGCCCGAATTGTTTATTTGATCTCTTTCATTGGTTGTGTTTCTTGTTTCATACCTATACAATCACTTTAAAGGTCAGTGTGAAGGACTTTTCCTCCTCTGTTTTCTTTTGAGATTTGGATGGCTTCTGGCCTTATAACTTCTTTATACAATTTTATATGATTTTGTGTATAGGGAAGATTACAGGCTGGATTTCATTATTCTGGAGGTTGCCATTCAGCTGTCATCTTGTTTTGTAAATGCATTATTATTCTGTTTTGTCTTTTCTAGTCCCAAGCTGACCCTAATAATCAAAACAAAATGTACTACTTTTAAACTGGGAGAGTGTAGAATAAGATTTGTATAAAAAGATGCAAAAATAAATAAAAATAAAAAGTGGCTAAGAATATTAACCCAAACCAAAAAACCCAAACCCAAACCAAAAACAGCAAGGTAAGCATGCTAATAAAAGATACATGTGCAATCAATTGCCAGGAAAGAAAACACTGGCTTCAGAAGAGTAGAAAGCACTACATGGGTTTTATAATATCCTTACAAAATCTGTTTTACCTTTAATTCACGTATGTTTGACAAAGTAAAACATAAATTTTTAAAAATGCATCTTATGCATTTTTACTTCCAAAACTTGAAATTGTAGTAACTCACTCTCAAAAGAGTTACCAGATTGTTATTAAAGCAATTAATTTATGTATCCTTACTTTCTCTTTTTCTCTCTACCTCACCCTCTGTCTTCCTAATTCTGCATTGATTATACCATGCTAGTTCCACCACTCTACCAAAGGGAAATGAAACTAAATCTGTTTATCCAGCCTGGCCCTGGCATCTGGGGAAGCCCATGATGGGTCCACTGTCCCCTGCGAGGCCCAGGGGTGACTGAAGCCAGGAGCGTCTTCTCTGGAACATGGGTCATAGAAACATACCAGGAACTTAAAGTTGCTCTTTCTTTTCTTCTGTCGAAGTTATTCTTGAGATGCTTCTTCTAATATCCTGGTGTGGCTCTTTCACTAACCTACAATCTCTCCTCTAGTTTCTATGTTCATGGATAGCTTCTGAGCTGTACCTTGGAGGGTACATAAGCTCAGGGTCTCCTGATCCGCCATCTAGCAGACACCACTCTTTCAAAATTCTGTGATGTGTTTCTTTCAGGAAATTTGTCTGCGTGGGATGAGACCTGGTAAGGCAAAAGGTGGGAACATCAAACCCCGGGCAAAATGTCTTACCATCATGGAAGCTATCACAAGTATTTGGATGTATCTGTGAGAAAAGGTAACGCTTTTTAAAAAAATTTGTTTCTGAGATGGATCACTGTAGGTTGTCCATGCTGTTAGTTCTTCTGCCTCAGCCTCCCAAGCCTCAGGTAGTAATACTGAAGGCAGGAGCCACTTCTCCGAGTTTTAAAATATTAACTATTTGAGGCATATTTCATTGGAAAAATGTCATTTCTACTCTTTCATTCATATTTAATCAATTAAATTGTTATATCCTTATGTCAAAAGAGAAATCACAGTAATTACATTAGGTTATTGTGTTTGGCCAAAGTAAGCGTGTATGTATAGATTTGTTACATAAATGAAAACAATTTTTATTTTTGTATATATACAAAGGAACATTTAAAAGTATTATACCTGTGTAATTATACTTTCATGGCATTACTATCTATTAATTTTTAATTTCTAGTATAAATATTTCAATGATTAGTATTTATCAAGCATTTTCAGCATGTATTCAACTACAATATGTATATATACAATGAATATAAATAAAAGGATTATGCTACTTGACATGAATAGTAATTTTAGACTAATTTACTTGAGACTGCTTCTATCAACATTTTAAACAGAATATTTTCCCATTAGATGACAAAAAAGAATTTAAAAGTTTGCATACATATCTCACCCAATATTAATAAACACTTGCCATCTTAAATTTGAGGAACCTGAGATTTCTGCTTCAACAAGAAGGACTTAAATAATTTATCTCTGTTTTCTCTAAAGTTCACACAATGTCATAATGATGGTATAAAACTGAATAAATATATAAATATGTAAGCAGAAAGCACATAAGAGAACACTGAAGCCAGGAAAAGTAAACGCAATTTTGAAAGTGAAACACATAAATAAATGCTAACACTGTTAGAGTAGAAGATGCTGAAATCTATATGCAAGCAAATAAATATGTCAAAGCAAAGGAAATCAACAGAAATCAAATAGATTTTTACTGTATGACATAGAATTTTCAACCACTTGGATTGCAAAAAATAATAATGAAAGTAGAAGACTTGGTTGGAAATAAAGCACAGAGACTATTTAGACTCTCACCTCTTTTCCGAATGAAGCAGGCAGGAAACCATCTGTCTCTCACCCAAGCAGTGGGATGAGTTTTATTTTCCACCAATTCTTAATTCGAAGGAGTCTAGACACCGAAACATTAGAGAAAGAGGAGGATGGTGTAATCTTTTGAAGAGATAATAAATTAACATCTCCATACTAAAAGATGAAATTTGAAGACCACTTCTCCAACTCATTTTTGAGAATGGCAACAATACTGATAATAAGAAAGATGTTAGATAATTCATCTCCATAAAAACTACCCCAGGGGAGAAGATCTACAACAACATCTGATAACACAACATCTACAACAATAAAGCACACTGGATTCTGTCCAATACCTCCATATCCATCAACAGATGTAACTCACACATCTATGGTTTTAATTATACAGGGAGATAGTCATGAATTTTAAGGAAAAATAGGCCACAACAATATCAGATGCAGTGTAATGTCTATTTTACCAGGTATTAATCACAGTGTCATCACTGATGAATAAAAATAATAAAACCTCTCTTGCACTAAAAAGCCAAAGGCATGTTCTTCCTCAAAAATAAGTTTGGTTCACTATTTCACCCTGGTTTTCTTTTCCAGAGAATAAGCTTCTTTGTGTGTGACATATATATATTTTTTAACTAGAGAGAATATTTCTTGTCTTGCTTTCCACACATTATATTTGCTCGTTCCACCCACTGCAACCTGGTTTTCATTTTTCCATTCCATTAATATACTCTAGGTAGTTTGCAAAAATTATCTTTGTGGAGCTACATCCGAGCTCTTTCAGCAGGCCCTGGATTCATGCAATAGCTGCCTTTTCCCTTCCCTTTGCCCACTGCATTCTGCTCCTCATCTCTCCTCAGCAAGATCCACACTGTGCTAAATTGGTGCTTGTATTCTCACCATCAGGACCATCCCTGATTTGTCATTGGTTTGTTTCTCTCTGCAGTGTGATCTTCCAGTGTTGGTGAATATCATTCTCTTTCTCTCCGTGTTTTACCATTTCTGCACCTAGAATTTCATGTACTTGGTGATTCTGAAATGCATTTCCCCTAAGCTGTCTTTTAAAGAAATCTGATTTGGTTTATTCATATCATTGTCTTTCTCACCTTCTGTATTTCCAGTCTTAGCTAATGACCTTCCTTCCCTGACAGACAAATCAGAATCCAGGGTCATCTTTCTCCTTCTTCCTAATAACCCACAAACTTCTGGGATTTTATTGCAGTAATTTTCCCCATTCGTCAAATCCTTCCCATGCCTATTTCTCCTTGCTTACAGTGCAGCTCCCCATCATTCAGGTTCTGTATTTTCCAACTGACCTCTCCATTAAAACTGCTCCCTCTCTCACCTTTCTAAAATTAATACAACCATCACCAATGGAATGACACTCCAAATGCTAATCTGACTTTGATTTTCTTGCTTTTACTCTGCAAATGCACTCTGATACTAATTTGTTTTTTTTTTTTTTGAGGGCTCAACTTTTTCTCCAGAAGTGGTGTGATTCTGTGATTGTCTTTCCAGAAGTAATTACGTGACGTTATAGTAAAACTTCTTCGAGTTTTTATCATACAGAACTGTTTTTCACCTCGCACAGGTTCTCTATTCTAAAACTTATGAAAAACCGTCATATTTTACTATCTTCTTTCTTTACTTTGAAATATTAGTGTTTCTTTTCCTATGACATAGGTATATACTTTTCTCCTACTACTTTTTATGTATTTATTTATGTTGCTCTTTGGGGGTCTAGTATTTCCTTATGATATTTAAGACATCTTAAATTTGCAGAGGAATGTCCCTAAATTCTACATTGAAAAAGATTTTAGGCACTATCATCAAATGCTCTGCTTAGGTTCAGCTGATTTCTACCAATGAATTTTTTTCTTCCTATATTTTTAATGTTTCTTTTTATAAAATCAAATATGGATTCAATTTTACATTTATATTTTCTTTTACCCTTTGAAACATATATTGGAAATTCAATCCTATTTGTGACCAGATGACTAGAACACTCCAGAAATTTTAACATACAATACTTTTTAGTTAGAGAGTAAACACGTTCCTGTAATGGTTACCCTACATGAGGAGGAAGAAGGATAATTGTAAGTTGGACTAATTGTAAGTTCGAACCTGGTCTGTGCAAATTAGTGACTTAATGAGACCCAGTCTCAAAATAATAAAACTAAAAAGGTAGAGGATGTAGCTCTATCGGAATGCCCAGCTATGTATCTCACATCCTTCTTAACAAATGCATACAACTACAGACTCGCAAACACAACAATAAAAATGTTATTGGACACTTGAAGAAAATTATGTCATTATACTCAGTGAAAATAAAACAAACAATTTTCTGAGGATGCAAGAGAGGCTTAAGCATTGTCTTGGTTACTTTTCTCTTGTTACTGGAGAAAAAAATATGTGACTCTCAAACTTAGGGAAAAAAAGCTTATCTCACTTACAGATTTTCGAGGTTTCAGTCATTACTTAACTGGTTCCAAAGCAGGGTGGTGTGGTTAAGGGGCAACAATTCATGGCAGCGACAAGCAGCAAGAAGGAAAAGGGCAAAAAGGAGGAGCACCCATTTTTCCTTCCCTAATTGTATGCTGATTAGCCAGCCCCGGTGGGTGCAGCACTGACACTGCCAATCCCAGCGCTAGACAATGAACCCATCACCAACTCTAGACTCAGCTGCCTTTGAAAGGCCAGCGCCCCAGACCATATGAGGTTCTGGAGGAATATCCATCCAAACACAAACTATAACAAGCATTCTGTGAGGGACTTTGTTTCCTTAGTCATCAAGGTTTCATCTTTGAAACTCATAAATAGTCTATCCATCTCAATCTGTGTGAACAGACAGCCAGGAAAATAGTTTTTAAGCCTGAATTATATAGAAAATATCAAATTTGCTTGTGCAGGACTGAACATATTCTAAAACAAAATTACCCAATTTTATTATTTACTTTTTATTTGCACGTATTTGCTGTACATAACGTTTATGTTCCTTGTATGGGGTTGGTACATTTACATAACACATCTTAAATACATCTTTATTTTTGTCCCCTATACCTCCTGTCCTTTACTTTTCCTTCTATCTAACTTATTTGTTAAACAAGCATGAGAGTAAAAGGGTCTATAACCTACAACTCAGAGTTAGGCTGCTGAATTTAGCAAAACAAAATTTTCACAAAACATCTAAAATGTTTGGGCACATTTAAAAACATATCAATGTACTTTGCATGCCAGAATAAAAATAATTCAAGTAATTATTTCCTGTGTCATATATTTACTTAAGAGTGGCAACTTTACTATTATTCATTTCTTCACTCATCTGGATGAGAGGTGAGGATGAGTCATCAAGTTACTTTTTGCTTTCTGGAAGCCCTCAACCCAGAATATACCCTCCTCTTTCACAGTCACCCCAACTCACCCAATACAGCCTCCAGCTCTGCAACGTCTTCTTTCTACTTCCCTCATGTCGTGACACTCCAAACTTATCATGCTATGTGGTACCCTGGATGAAGAAAGAACAAAGTTCATTTTGTTAAATTACAAGTGTAAGACTGAATATATGTATGCATTTATATATATACATATATATATATATATATATATATATATATATATATATACTCGACTATAGTATTGCCTTATATGCCTAATCCAGTTTTTAAGAATGAATACATTTTAGCTATTTAAATGTGCAACAAGCATTATGACTTAGTGAGAATCACCTAGATATCATTATGATTTTGTACTAGACCCTTCTAGATTATTGCTATTTTTGAAATTTTCTTAGGCAAAGATAATGCATGGGAAATTTTGAGAAACTCAAGTAAGTCACTGGTTAAAATGTGTTTTTTGTTGTGTATCATACAGCATTTGCATTCCACTTCTACATATCCCATTGTATCTTGCACTGAGATCCAAGTTCTCACTGTTAAGACCTCTTCACAAAGAGCAGAAAGTCTTGAAAGCCATGAAATTGCTAAAACATTATACAGGAGTCTTTGCACACTGAGGTTCTGTCAAATGGATTGTATAGAAGGCTTGGTTTCCCTTCAGTATTTTTTTTTTTTTGGAATCATAAAGATCAATTTTAACATTTACATTCTTTTCTCTTAATCCATCTATCTTCTCAATGTCAGATTCCCTCAGCATTCTCTGGACTCTATAGGCACAGTAGGGGCAATTTTACCCCAATTTGTGCAAAGAGTAATTTCCTCAAAGTGTTTCTTTTCCTGTTTGGCCTCATTTAACACTCCTATGTTCAGGCATTAAAAATTTCCCAGTCCCAGCAACTCAAAGGCTTCTCTGCTTAATGAGCTGGTTCCTGATAAATTTTACTCTGTGGATATTCTTCAGTTTGCCATTATTCGATGTATTAAAAGCAACTTGCAGACTTTTGGCTTCCAAAAGACCCTATAATTTGAGAGAAAAAAGAAAACTAAAAACTATAAATATAATTAAAATATAATTGTGTATTACCTTTCAAATATACTCTATTTTTTGTTTTTCTCTTACCAACACTAACTTGTGAATATTTTACCATATTTTCACTAATAATTAAAATACGTGAATATTTTTGATAATTATAGCATCATGAAATTTTAAAAACTGAATAAATTTATAGAAAGAGTTCATCAACTGAACTGTTGGTTATTCAGCTAATCATACCAGGATAATACTAATATTTTCACAGATAAGAAATATGTCAGATTTATCTATCTAGAAAATTTGTTTTTAAACTTCATGTGTTTACAGGATGATATTAAACTAAATGTATGTGTCTTGAAGTTAAAAATCAAGAATATAAACAGTTTTAAAATAGAACAAATCGTTTTTCACCTGCTTTGAATTAAATTTCCTCAGACAATTAAGACAGAGGTTAGTAAATCTAGTAATTGTTTGATTGACTTTATCAACCATAGAATCTAAGTAAATCAAATGGAAGTACCTTCATAGAGAGCGAACAGTCAACTTACTATAATTTTCTACTTTAAATATACTTCAAAGTTCCAGCATAAAGAAAAGCTTTACTAGTTTTATAAAGGAAACACAAATAAAAATTCTGGTAGAGAACAATAGAAAATTAGTATACTCTCTAAATTAATAAATGTAAAGATAAAAATGGTCTTAAAATATGTTAATAGTGACACTGAAATTATTTCTATAAATAATAGAAGAATAAAATTAGCAATAAGATTTCAAGTAGTATACAGTTACTTTTGAACTTCAATATTTAGTATTTGAAGTAATTTAATGTATAAGAAGATTTATAATTGTTAATATTTTATTTTATTGATATTCAATTTTAATGGAACAAATAAATACTCAAAATGAGACATGTTTGAAAAGGTCTGTAAAGACAGTTGTGAAAATATTTTGGCTAAACTATATACATGGGTCAATGTGAAAAGTATGTATAATTGACCTAGCCAAATCTGAATTAACCAAGTATTAATAACAAAATTGTGTGACTTCAGAAAATAGTTACATAGAAAGAAAATTATTTAAATGAAATTAACTTGCCTTTACTTTAATACATGATGTTAATGAAAATGCTAGCAATTATAAAATGATTAATGAAATAATAAAAATACCCTAGAAAATACTATTTAACCAGTTCTAATTCACATTTGACTACAAAATAAACTACACAAATGAAAATCAATAATACTTTGTTGAAGAGACTGGGGCTGTAATTCAGGTAAAAATACTTGCCTATCTATATAGGTTTAACAACAAATTGGTGATTTTTTTGCTTTAATGTGCATGAATGATTTTTAAATAAATATTATGTCATGAAAATGTGTATCAGGAGTAATTTCAAATAAATGTGTTTGTCAGTAAGACATTTTTAAACTTCAAGGGGTTTGAGACATGATGGTAGGATCACAGTGAACACTGATGTACCTAAAGAGCAGACTTTCTCAACAGTGTCTCTTTATGATATCTTTCTTATACATCCAATCTTCTTAATGTACTGCATCCTGGCAGTATAAGCAGCACAATATTCTTCTCTTTCAGGCAGCTGCCAAGTGAAGCTTCCTTCACCTAAGAGTAAGAGAAAAGACACCACCTACCTTTTGTGGGGGTCCTAGCTGGATAGGGGAACCACTCTCAACCAGATCCTGTGAAAAATAAATGAAAAAAAATCACATAATAAGTCACCAAAAACCAAGTTAGAAGAAAAATGAGTTGGAAAAAGATTCTCTATTAGTATAAATTTCTTCATTATCCCTATGGACATTGGCACATAGCTAAGAAACTGAGTCTTCGAAATATAGAGGAATATTCAAGTTACCAGAATAGGAAAAAAATCACATATTGACAGGCATTGTGGCACACTGACAGTTGGAACCAGCACACTGACAGTTGGAACCAGCACTCTGACAGTTGGAACCAGGAAGATGGAAAGACCAAGCACAGCAAGAACAACTTCCTGAGTTAGGGATACTGTCTACAAACAAAACAAACAAAAAGTTGTGGATGTGACTCGGTGTCAAGGACCTAGGTTGAAGAGAAGCAAAGCAAGACATAATACACTGTGCATTTATAATGTATTTACTAACATGTTACACAGCAAAGTGATAATGAAAAGCATTTTCATATGCTAAATATTTTTTTTAAGAATTTCATTATTTTTGCTGTCTTTTTAAATTGTCAAAACTCTAGAAATAATTCAGGGAATCCACTGTTTTAAGCTTTGAAATCTTGTCAGCCTGAAAGTAAGGCTTTTTTTTCTGTTGGGTGAAGAGATGTACTTCTTGGCTCTTTCATAAATCCAGGTCAGAGTTTCAAAGTGGCAGTGCATTGAATTGGACCTAAAGGCAGTTGTTTTCCATCAAACTTAGGGGAGATGACCCTCCATCATTTTTGTACTACTTTTAATTTTGACTCTTTTAGATCTTTGGTATTTTGTTAACTTCTTGAAATACTTGAAAACAGAATATTGATGCATTGTTTAAAAAACAAGGTCTCACTGTGTAGTTCAGGCTGGCCTTACATTCACTATGTACCCCGGGCTGACCTCAAGCTCATGAGACTTTTCTGCCTCAGGATCTCAAATGCTGGGATGACAAGCATGTGCTCCCATGCCTATCAGAAATGTATTGTTTAAATTGTGATCAGATATATATTTTACTTTTTTCTGTAGAATGCTTATTTTGAAGTTTCTAGTCTGACTTTATCAGGTACTTTTTCTGTCAAGTAGAGAAAAAAAATCTCTTAAGAGACTCAGAGAAATTAGAACAATCTTTTTATTTTTTGATAGAAGATGCTAGTATAATTTAAAACATTACCAGGTTTCTCTGAATTTCTTCCTTTAAAATGGTTTTCATTACTGCCATATTTTGATTTAATTGACTATTTCTTAGAACAGAGTAATCAGATTTTCATAGTTACATTTTGATTCTTTATAAAAGCTCCATGTGAATTAATTACTGTTAGTCTGTACAAGGGCATATTCTTAAACTACAGAAGATGTTTACAGAAATATTTCTATGTATAAATTCATTACAACTAAACAAAACTAACAGCATAATCTTGTGGTAGTAAAAATAAAGACTGTGTGGCCTCTTAACATGTTATAAAATAACTAGTTTATCAAAATAATAGGTATATAATTTATAATATTTTATTAATTTCATGCATTTTGTCATTCTTACCTATTCAGACTGGTTTTAATGAAGTAATTAATCTACACTGAGGAAGTCTTTTTTTTTCAAAATAGTCAAGTACTAAGCATTAAAAAGAAATATCTGTGTAGATTTTATCCATTTTTCAGTCAATCTAGCTTTCAACAAAGAAATTTTAGGCAGTTTCCTCAATTTCTGTGATGAAATAAACTTGGAATATTCTTTTTGGAGGACAGAGTTAAATAGATTGCTTTTTTATGGAATGATTTATAGGCCTTGATGATCATTTATGTATCAAAGTTTATTAGATAAACAGATAAAATCCAACATATACCAATGTGTAAGAAGTTACAAGACTCGCTTAGTATGACCAGCCACACTCGTATGAGGGAGTGTGCAGATGGTGTTCGCACACTGGAGACTGAAGGGTCCAGCCAAGGCCTGGTGCTCACTGCAGTGTTCCTGGTGTGTACCAGGAGGCCAACCGATCTGTGACAGAGAGCTGAAGAGTTTCAAGTGGAAGCTGATCCACCAGCCTGCACCACAAGCCAGGAAATGACTCCAAGCTAAAAACAAAGACAGGAGCTCCTTCAAAGACTCAGCAATAAGGCCTTTCTCAGCTCCCTTTTATGATATGCAGATTTCCTGCCCTTGGGTGGATGTAACATTCACAACATCTCTGGCTCCCTGCTGAGTCACTTAGGTAAACTTCTCAAGTTCATACAATCAACAATATTGTAGAAGTAAAGGCATGTCTTCTACACCCCAGGAGGTAGAGCTGCTGAGTTATTTAGATAAGCTTCTAGACCTCTCAGGTTAGCACAGTGTATCAACCATTATTAAATTCAATATGAATGTTCAATGAAGGGAAAGGGATTAAGTATAAAAACTTATTTAGCTACAATACATCTTTTTCTCTACTTTGCAGTAAGACTTATTTTGATCTCTGTTTAGAATATTCAGCATAATTACTATATTTGGAAAGAGTCTAAAAGTTTAGGTATTTTTTGAAGAAAGTATTGTAATTGATCAACAGAAACAAAACTAAACCAAGATGTTGAAATTATTACAAAAGTTCCATGAAATGTTAACATATTTTTAAAGATTGTCTCAAAATAAGAAAATGTACATATTTTGATGGGAAATTTGATGGGAAAAAAGTAGACGAATATAAATTGTATGTAAATTGAGTTTAAAAAGGCAGCAATAGATATTATTCAACTTAAATAGAAAAAAATACTAAGACTTCTCAAGGAACTGTGTGTAGACACTATGTTTAACTACAGTTTTAGAAGTAGTGTAACTTGGAAGAAGAAATTGATCGAGTGCCAAGCGTTCTCTACAAACATTGAAAGAGAAATTTCAGATTAAGAAAGCTCAGATAAATATGAATATAAATAAAATAAGCGTAAAGAAAACCACAACTGTGCCTATTAGAGTAAAACTGATAAAACCAAAGAAAAAGAGAAAATTTAAAGGCTGTCAGAGAAAAAGTCATATTTTATAAAAAGGAGCAATGGCAAGAATGGTGGATGTCATTTCATCAGAAACTACAGCATCAAATAATATTTTAAAATGCTGAAACAGCTATCACTAACCTTGAAAGTAATTCAGAGTAAAAGTAAAGATTAAAACATGGGCAAAGCATACATTGTCACACAGGTAAAATAAGAATTTCTCCTTTGAGGACTGTTGGGAGCCGTGGCACTGTCAAGTCATCAGACGCGGTGATTGCGAGGCCTGTGGGAAAGTACAAAAGCCTGAGCTGGATTACCCCTCTCATCGAGCCCGCCTGTGTGGCACCTGTTTCTTATCACCCCACTAAGTTCCCGCCTCACAGGGTAGTCTGCCTAGCTATTAATCCTATATATAGCCAGTGCCTCCACCCCCGGGGGAGACTGAAGCACAAAAGGAGCCGCGGGGAGCGGACCGGTAGAGGCTTCGGGGCAGACTGAAGCACGGAAGGAGCCGCGGAGAGCGGACCGGTAGAGGCTTCGGGGCAGACTGTATAAGGAGAGAATAAAGAAAAGCCTGACCACCGCCAGACCTTGTCGTGTGTCTTTCCTGCCGGCCGGGAGCGACACCGACATTGGACTACACTTTAAGAAAAACAAAGATAAGATATAGAACAAATTGTACAAGATACAAATTCATATCTACAAATGTAAACACCAGAAAAATTAAGCATATGAGAAAATGTAACAGAAGAAATTAAATTAATCTTACATGCTTATATGTGTTCAGAGCATGTGATATACTTCTCTATATATGGTGTGTATATATACATATAAATGATTTATAAGTTTTCACATGATTTATAGGTTTTCAAAACATTTGTACATAAAGGTTTTATAAACAATTGGGCACAACCACAATAATAAAAATAAAATATAAAAATAGTATTTGAATGTAAAAGGTTGGGAAATATATAACATAAAAAATTAACAGTAAAAAGACATGAATCTATTCAAGATAGAAAAATAGAGCTTAAAACAAAGAACATTATTACATATAAAGAAAAACTCTACATATTTGTACACAAATATACACAAATATGTATGGTACATGTAAATACATTTTCAAACCATTCTGCTAAGTTACAAATCAGCGAGGTACAAATGCTTACATTTTTTCTCCTTTCATGAATTATTCAGGATAAACATAGCATGGCTATGTTGATCCCAAGAACTGAAGAGAGATGGAGAATAGGGAGAAACTGCTTAATGTCTAAGTTTATACTTAGAATTACATAAACATTTTGTAGCGAGGCACAAATAGTGGTTGCACAACATTGTGAATGTAATAATTGTCACTGAATTTCACACTTAAAATTCTAGAAAAATTGATATGCATAACATACATGTTTATATAGACACAGCCTAAATGTATAATGTTGGGAAATATATAACACAAAATATTAAAAGTAAAACGGTATGTTTCTATTCATGATAGAAAGATCTTAGAACAAAGAGCATTACTACATATAAAGAAAACATACTGATCAAATGATAAAGGCATGAAGGAAATAGTACAATCATAAATGAGGGTGCATATAATAAATGATTTTAAAATAAGATACACAAGGTAGAAGAAACTGAATAATGTGCAAAATATTTGTGTATTTTAGTAACAGTATTTTAGGATTTAGTGGATAAATTAAAAATACATTAAGGAAATAAAAAATTTTGCATAATACTATGAAGCAAAAGCACTGTTCTCAGTCACACAGAGATGCATCACTGTGATCCAAAACTGGGTTATCAAACATATTTACTAGTGAATCTCTAAATAGTTTCTAGCTGTCAAAGTATTTAACTGGGTTATCAAACTAATTACCAGTAAATTTCTAAGAATTGAGGTAATATAGCATTTATTTTTATATCATAATTTAATATAGAAATAAGTGAAAACAATGAATCTAAAACAACAATTTGAAAATTATATAATTCCCATTTGTAACTCTTGATAATGCATCAAAGAATTACCAGAGAAATTATGAAATATTTTTTAATGAATCTAAACATAATTACCACATATGAGTGTTTATTTAGTGTAGCTATAATATTAATTATGGTAACTTCTAATGTAAAAGTCCTAATTTGGGCTATGTATACATACTTTGAAACATGTATATGAGAAAAACTTGTAACCCTTAGTAACAAAATCCAATAAATAAAAATATATAAATCAATAGAATCTAAACAGTAGAAGACATTGAGGGCTAGCATCCTTATTCAGCATGCACTCTATTATTAGAG